ACGACGACGAGAAGTTCTGACCTGTCCTAAACCTAAATCTTAAATTAGTGCGGATTTTAGGGGTTCTTGGGTTTGGGGTTTCGGCTTTCAGGTCTACTTGTTCAAAGCTTTTGTGGTGCGTGGAAGCCAGGAAGCAGTGGAAGTGGAGCCCATGTTCAAGTCGCAGCTGAAAGCCAGTGAGTACAAGAAGCTTCCACAGCTTCCTTGGCTTGCGGGGAGGGCATCCGGGCTTTGAGGTCTTAAGGGTCTAGATTTCAGGGTTCAGGGGCTGAGGGTTCGAATTTGGGGTGTGGGCTTTGGGAGTTTAGGGTTTAGGGTTTCAGTGTTTAGGGTTTGCATGTTGGGTTTAATTAGGGGTGTTGTGTTCAAAGGTTGGATTAGCTTCTTATGTAAGAGGAAGAATTCACGGCCCTTGGAGGCTCATGGGTAGTTATAAGTTTGGGTTACAAGTCCCCTAATATATGTTATTTCTAGAATCACCTTACTTATAACCTTACTTGCTACCCTAAACCCTAAACCTTAAACCCTAAACCCTCATAGAGCTTTTTGAGGAGCTCTGAAAAAGGGTCTTTAGTCGGACAGACGTTGGCCCTCGCTAGAGACCTCGCCAAGGTCGGAACTCCTAACGCAACTTCCTCATGCACCTAAACTAAAGCCTACACCCTAAACCCTAAGCCTATAAACCCTAAAGCCGAAACCCTAAAGCCTAAACCCCATAAGCCTTGAAGCCTTAACCCAAACCACTCGAACTTCTTTGATATCTTTCATGTACACTTCTGGTTGCCACTTGCGACCTTAAACGCTGAGCCCTGAACCTAATCCCGAGGCCTGAAATCCGCCTCCATACGATGAGTATGATGGCACTTCTTCATGACTTCAGTGGAGGTGCTTAAGGCCTGCTCAGATGTAACAGAAGGGTACTCTGGTTAGACTTGCTTTCGAACAAACAAAGTACCTACGACCTTGCTCGCAGTAGCTCTTGCGGTGTAAGGAAACAGGGCAGCACTAGCCTGGCTTGCCTATAGGCCCCCATCGATGCATTCAAATCTGACTTAGATGCTTGAGGTTTATGTTAAAGACTAACTGAAAACACAACTTCATGTTCAGCAAGAAGTATGTCCATGAAATCAAGCTGCAACTGATCACTTAAACAGACACAGCTGAACATGACCGCTGTTTGTAGGATGCAGCATGGCGGAGACGATTTTCAGTTTAAGTCGCGCACTTAGTTCTTCAATACCCAACCTTTGAACTTTTTGTTCCCTTATAACTCAGTAGTAATCTGAAAGTTTAACCTTCATTTCCCTGGCTTATTGGGCAAGTAAGCCAAGGCTCCGTTTCGGCGGTGATGACGGAGTGTGGCTGGTAGACAGCGACTGCATCGCCGCGGGGTCACATTGTTTCTGAACCTTGAGGCGTACCCAGACAGCCTAAACCCGAAACCCTTGTACCCTAAACCCTAAACCCCTGAACCCAAAGTCCCAAAGCGCAAAAGCCCTAAACCCTAAAACCCTAAACCCTAAACCTCAAGCCCCTAAACCCAAAATCCCTAAACCCAAAACCCTGAACCCCGACAACCTGAACTCGAAGCCCTGAACCTTGAACAGTAAACCCCAAGCCTCAAGCCCCGAACCCTCAACCCAAAAAGCCCTAAACCCTAAACCCTAAAACCCTAAACCTAAACCCTAAACCCTAAACCCTAAACCCTAAACCCTAAAACCCTAAACCTAAACCCTAAACCCTAAACCACCTAAACCTCAAAAAGCCTTAAACCTGAAAATTTCTGGGGTGTTTGGCCCTGGGGCGTTGGTGGGACTCTCTGCTTCCTGCCAGGTTTAGGGGGTAGGGTTTAGGGCTTACGGTTTAGGGTTTAGGGTTCAGGGCTTCGGGTTTAGGGCTTTAGGTTTACGGTTCAGGGTTTAGGGTTGAAGACTTTGGGTTTAGGGCTTTGGGTTTAGGGTTTAGGGGACTTCAGGAGTTTAGGGTTCAGGGTTTAGGCTGTCTCACAAACTTGCAACTACAACACTTAACAGACTTAACATTTCAACTGAAGTTATCATAAGCCAGGGCAAAAAAGACGCTGCCATCACGTACTTTTCTATAGGATCCCTACAAGCTTAGTTTTGTTTTACGTTTCAGCTCGGGACATACAACACCAGTTAATGGGATCAGATCCTTGGTTCAATTATCCCCATCACGAATTTGGCGACGAGTAGATGCAGCTTAGAGTCAGAATCTTCGCGCAAGTCGGTGATCGAAGTCACTGCCCCGAAAACTCAAAACTGATAGGCACAGAAACCTTCAACCACGAATAAGATCCCCAGTACTTGGGTGATCTTGGGTAGTTATAAGTGGAGTTATCAGTCTTGTATTGTAGGTTATAACTATAGTTACCCTACTTATAACCGCACATATCACTACCCATGACCTCCAAGTAGATATAAGGACCCCTGAACGCGGCAACTCTGGTGAAGCCGCAACCTAAACTGTACACGCTAAGCTTACTAGAGAGTCTGTGGAACCTGACAAACAACTCATACGATAGTATCCAAATTCTGCAAGACATGGAAGCCAGGACGACAAATCTATACATGCTCCCCAGTAGTCCCCGAATGCCCTTGTGGGTAGAACCAGGTTTGAACAATTCCCTAAAACCCTAGTAGATCCCAGCGATCCGTCTAAAAACTTCTTTAGCATCTTGCAAAACCCTGGAGGACCTGTCTATCGACACCTATAAGTTTTGTTGTAACACCTCATGGGACCTTCATAGACCTTTATAAAACCCTGGGGTGAGTGAAGTCTAAAGCCTAAGACCCCCTAAACCCGAAGCCCTAGGCCCTAGACGCTAAGTCGTGAAGGAGGGACCCTTAAAGGGACCCTTGGGGTTATATAGGGGCTTCATGAGACCATTATTTAAGGGGTATATAAGAATTATAGAGGGTATTCGGATTAGGTGTCCCTTTCAGAATTTCCTCCTATTGTCCCTTAATGACCATAAACCCTAAACCCCTAAACCCTAAACCCCTAAACCCTAAACCCCTAAACCCTAATTCCCTAAACCCCTAAACCCCTAAACCCCTAACCCTAAAAACCCTCAGATTGTCTGAGGTCGATGCCATGTCACGAGCAATGGGCCTGGAGTCGCAGTTGTCGGACCCAGAGGTGGGTGGCTAAGGGCTTAGAAGGGTTTACCCCAAGGGGGCTCAGGGTTTAGGGTGTTAGGGCTTAGGGCTTTTATAAGGGTTTACTGCCTTACCCTAAGGGTCTATGTACCCAAATAGTATACACTTCAGCCTTAATGTAGTAGGGCCAATGTTCTACTATTTGGGTACATGGACCCTTAGAGTTTAGGGTTAAAGGCTTCTATAAGGGTTTACGATATACACACCTTTGGGTTTAGGGTTTAAGGCTTAGGCTTCAGGGTTTAGGGCCTCGGAGTTTAGGGTATGGTGTGAGGATGTCTTTTAGGGTTTGGGGATGAGGGTCTTTCTAAGTCTAGGACATTTTCAGGTAGGTAGTTACCGTCATAGGAGCCTTATAGAAGGTCTATATACTTTATAGAAGCCTTAGAGAAGCCCTATAGACCCTAAACTCCCCACCAGTAGTTTCCTTTAACTAGGGGATGCCGACAGCTTTCAGTCAACTTCCCTGGCCGAATCCCCGCACCAGCCACTCCCAGCCCCACGCCAGCCCCAGCCAAGCCAAGTTTCGGGTTTAGGGTTTAGGGTTATAGGGTTGTAGGGTTAAGGGATTCGGGTTTGTAACGTTTAGAGTTTAGGGTTTAGCTCCCAATTAGCTCCCAAAGCCGGAGGCCAGCATGTCGCCCCAAGTGTTGGTCAGTCGTCGACATGAAGGTGTTTTGAAAACTCTATTTGAGGGGCCCGCTTTGGGGATGCCCGTGGCATGTAGACCATTCAGAGGGCTTCTGTAGGGAGTTGCTAAGTGTTTACAAACCCTAAGGGTCCATGTACCCAAATAGTAGATACTTTGGCCTTAAGGTAGTCCCTATTTGGGTACTTTGGGGCCAAAGTATATACTATTTGGGTACATGGACCCTTAGGGAAAGGTTTTTGTTGACGTGTTTCAGTGTAGCCAGTACGGGGTGCAGGTTGGTTTTGAGTCTTGGGCTTCAGGTATACGATTGGGGCTTTTACTACAAGAAGGAGGCCCTACTATGTACTATAGATCCCCGTTATGGTCATTTATAAGTTAAGTTACCCAGACCCGAAACCCTCAACCTTAAAATTTTTGAGTTTTGGGGGTTGATTCATGGCACCCCTGCACTACCTTATCTAGGGTCTTAGGGCTTAGGGTTGGGATCCTGGCTCCTTGAACTCGACAAGCTTTGGGTTCAGGGTTTAGGTTTCTTTCGGGTCTAGGGGGAGTCCAGCGCCAACAAAGGGTTTCGAGTTTAGGGGGTTACCCTAAACCCTAAACCCTAAACCCTAAACCCTAAACCCTAAACCCTGCCAAGATCGAGCGGTGGCGGTCTTGGGCACGTGAGTCGTTGGTGAGGCCTCCGGTTCATTTCGCTTCGTGCCGTTGTGTGGTGGGTTTAGGGCCCTTTCTGCGGCATGAACCCTAAAGTTTAGGGTTCATGCCGCAGAAAGATACACAGGTTTTTTGGGGCAGTTCATGATGGTTCGGGGATTACCCAAACATGGTTCTACATACTTTGGGGGTCCAGGTAGCGTGGGTGTAGGGTTAACCCTAACACTAAGCCCTAAGGGCTTAGGGATAAGTGTTTAGCTTAGGGTTTGGCATGGCTTTGTGGCGGTTTAGGGCTTAGGGGCTAGGATTTAGGGTTTAGGGTTTAGGAGTAAGGGTTTAGGATTTGGGGTTTAGTGCCAGCGTTTGGCTTAGGATTCATATGGGGGTTTCCGAAAATAGGGGACCCTAATATAGTACCCAAAATAGTAGGCTCCTTATTGAAAGGAGCCCAAAATAAGGTACCCCTTATTTTCGGAAACTCCCATATAGAGAGTTTAGGATTTAGGGTTTAGGGCTGAGGGGTGTAACAGTCTTCCACTCCTGCGTTGTGTGTGTCTACGTTCCTGCAGCAGTCCATTCCCAAAGGCTCCATGTACCCATATAGCATACACTTAGGCCTTAGAGGGGTTCCAATATAGGTACTTTCAGGCCTATGTATATACTATATAGGTGCATGGAGCCTTTGGGATTGTTGTCTCCGAAATCAAGAGAATCCGCACAAGTGCTTCTGGTGGTGCAACACGTTGGTTCCCACATGATGCACCCTGAATCCAAAGGGTCCGGATACCCTAAACCCTAAACCCTAAACCCTAAACCCTAAACCCAAAACCGTAATTCCTACTATCGAAAGCCCACTGCCTACATTCTGCTATACAAGTACTTGAATGGAACCTTTGGGTTCTTTTTCAGCTTCTGTACAGCCAGTAATTAGAGTTTAGGGTTTGTGGTTTAGGGTTTAGGGTTTAGGGTTTAGGGTTTAGGGTTTAGGGGTTTAGGGTTGAGGGTTCTCAAACCTGAAATCGCTTCAAACTTCACTGACAGCCCTATAAACACTTGGAATGGCCGTGCCACGTCAGGCATGTCACGCTGAACATCAACAGGACCCCGCTGCAATTGTTGAGATGCCGTGACCCTGTCGGTTCAGGGTTTGGGGTTCATGGTCGAGTTTTTCATGACGTCGGCTGGCGTATTCCAGCTGCTTTTCTGGTTCAGGCAGACAGTGATCCAGGGGCATACCAGGCCAACCCCAAGCGCTAAACCCCAAGCGCTACGTTTAAGGGTTTGGGTTTAGGGGGGCTCTCTGTTTCTAGATGTAGCCCATGCCTTTTGTAGCCGGCCTTCTAAGGCGACGCAGCTGAGCAAGAACTGATATTAAACACACGGTTTAGGGTGCAGGGTTTAGGGAGACAAAACACAAGGCACATAATGAAGTGTAGTTCTCTAATTTCGGGACTTGTCCAGGTTCCGTATCTCAAGAGCATGTCAAACTTGTAACTGTTTGAGGCCCACCGAAACCCTAACCCCCAAAACCCCAGTTCAGAGAAGCCCTAAACCCTAAACCCTAAACCCGAAACCCTAACCCCAAAACCCCAGTTCAGAGAAGCCTACATGCACACAAGGAGCCTTGCCAGCGCGTGGCAGGGCTATAGCCCCTTTGCCGCCGTTTTTGACAGGTTTGGGATTGAGCCATCAGAGGTGCGGGGGCTCATGGTTTCAGAGTCAGGGGGCTCGGGGTCTAGCACAGCAAACCTCAAAAAGTTGGACACCGGATTAAGGACACTTAGTGCTGGATTCCCTATATGTTACTTACAAGGATGGAGGCTATTGGGTTTCCAACTTTCTACTGCGAGGGGCTGAGGGTCTAGTGGCGTAGGGGTTCGGAATGCAGTTTGCATGTATGAAATAGGGCCTATAGGGTTTGCTTCCACGATCGTGGTGATTTACAAAGGGTCCTTCGGAATATGGGCGTTTGCGTAGTGGGTATGTAGTTCACTTCAAGCGTCCTTGAAAGTTTAGCAATTGAAAATTTCAAGAGAACATACCAGGTGTTGAAAATGCTAGTCATGATCTTGGGGTTGGGCTACGACCTTGGGGCTAGAGTGCAATACTACCCTGAGCTCGTAATGTAAGTTCTTCGTGCCTAAACCCGAAACCCTAAACCCTAAACCCTAAAAACCCTAAACCCGAAAGCCTAAAACCCTAAACCTTGTTTTTTGCAACTGCGGCAACGGCATGACCAGACGCTCCGACGCTCCGACGGACAGTGAGGACGATGTGCAGAGCAAACCTCATCATACCTATAGGCTCATACCCTATCCCTTTTCTTGGTCACCTACTTTTCTATATAACAGACTCTAACCATGAAATTAGGTACCTTAAAGAAGGGGTAGGGTATGACCCTCTAGGTGACCCTAGTCGAGCTTGTTCTAAACCCGAAACCCTAAACCCTAGTCGAACTTATTCTGAAACCCTAATTTCAAAACCCTAGTCGAACTTATTCTAAACCCGAAACCCTAAACCCTGGTCGAACGTATTGGAAAAACCCTAAACCCTAAACCCTAGCTTGTTGATTATCATGCTTCATACGTCCTGTACATCGAAGTCTCAGTCAGGGGTTCAACGTCCTTGAAGTGTTCGGTTTAGGGTTTAGGGTTTAGGGCGGCTGAGGCTGAGGTGTCTGGCAACAACGCAGCCCGAAACGGCAAACGCGGGGCTTACCCCCGACTCCGCAGAGTATAGATGCCCCCCACTAAACCCTAAACCTTTATCGGTTTAGGGTTTAGGGTTTAGGGCTCCATCCCCCCACTCAAAGAAAATAGAGGTGCTGAAAAACAACCGCCTCGGGGAAGCTTTGTGCCCAAAACTGGCCCAAAACAGGTAGCTAAGTATCCCAAACCTAGACCTCATGACAAGGTTACATAGATGCTTTCGATACCATCCCACTGGTCAACAAGCTCTTTTTGAAGGCAGCTTGGGACAGCAAGCAGAAAGATTCTTGTATTGTGCTTGAGATTTGGGGCGGGCTGCAGGCTGTGGGATGCTATGTATTCGTTTGTTCATGTCCTAGGCACAGACGATTATTCGCCGTTTTAGCAGCAGCAGCAGCAGCGGCGGCAGCAGCAGTAGTACGCTGCAGAAGCAGCAGCAGAAGCTGCAGTAGCTGTAGTAGTATAGTTGTCGTGTTCGTGGTCGTGTTTATGGCAATGGTCGCGGTAGTTGTAGTGGTACTACGGGTAGTTGGAGCAGCAGTAGTAACAGTAGAAGCACCATTGTAGCTTTGTGCCTGCCATAAACCCTAAACCCTAAACCCTGAGCCCTAAACCCTAAAACCTAAGCCCTATGCTTTGTGCCAGACCGGAGTCGCAAAGTTTTTGAATTTCGTGTCCTTGCTCTTAGGGTTTAGGGTTTAGGGTTTAGGCTTACACTTGCGCCTGGGGGGTGTGCCGCCCGGCACAGTCCCAAACGTGCTGAGCCGTGAACGCTCAGCGAAAGCCCTTGTAATCCTCACCGCCCCTAGGCAACCTCAGGATCTAGCCAGAGAGCCCAATATCCCTTAATTAAGGAATATACCTTAAATTATAGGGGCCTTAATATTATGATTTAAGGTATATTCCTTAATTAAGGGGTGTTGGGTTCTCTGGGTAGCAGGGTGCACGGGCTTCGAGTTGAGTTGCTTCCCCATTGAATAAGCACCCCACTAATAATAATAGTAGTAATAATTATAAGAAGAAGAAGAACAGCAACAACAACAACAACAACATTGAGGCCAATCCTCCTCAGATCATCCCCGCCCTTTGCAGTAAAACCTCATTTGCATCAGGGGTATGCAGGGGCAAGAGCAGGAGCAAGATAAGAGCAGGAGCAGGTGCGTGAGATGCAGTAGGAGCATGTCTTCGTTCTCCAATACCCAACCTTTAAACATTTTGGGTTCTTATACATTTTCGTAGTAATCTGAAAGTTTAACCTTGTATTTCCCTGGCTTATATTACCCTACACCCTAGACCCTAAATCGGGTTTAGCGCGTTTAGGGCTATGAAAGGGGGCCGCGGGTCCCAGGTCTGTAGAGAACCGGGCAAGCCCAGACCAGCAACCCGAATGTCTAATCTCCCAGAAAAATTCTTTGTTTCAGGATTTAGGGGTTTAGGGTT